TCTTTACACACATAGCAGATTTATAGCCGTAGATTCCATCCAAACCACCATGGCTTCACCACGTATGACATCCACACTGCACTCACATGTTCCTCAGCTGACGAGTCTCAGAGCAACTTCGCACCAAGCTTACCGACCTGCTGAAGATCCAGCACCCCGTCATGCTTGCCGGCATGAACGTGGCTGCTGGACCAAAGCTCGCGGCCGCTGTCACAAATGCTGGTGGTCTCGGTGTCATCGGCGGTGTCGGATACACGCCAGACATGCTCCGTGAACAGATCGCGGAGTTGAAGGGATACCTTAACGACCAGAACGCGCCCTTCGGTATCGACCTACTCCTCCCTCAGGTCGGAGGTAGCGCGCGCAAGACCAAGTACGTACTCTCTCTCTCTCTCTCTCTCTCTCTCTCTCTCTCTCTCTCGGCGAGCTTGCCACCTCAAAGGCACGACACTGACCGTGTGCAGCTACGACTACACCAAGGGCAAGCTGAACGAGCTCGTCGACATCATCATCGATTCCGGTGCCAAGCTATTCGTCTCCGCCGTCGGCGTCCCACCCAAGGCTGTCGTTGAGAAGCTACACAAGCACGGCATCCTATACATGAACATGATCGGACACCCCAAGCACATCAAGAAGTGCCTCGATATCGGTGTTGACATCATCTGCGCACAGGGAGGCGAGGGCGGTGGACATACTGGAGATGTTCCCACTTCCGTTTTCATCCCAGCAGCTGTCAAGATGGTAGAGGGCCACAAGTCGCCCTTGACTGGCGAGCAAGTACAAATCGTGGCTGCTGGCGGTATCTTCAACGGCCAGTCGCTCGCTGCAATGCTCACATTCGGTGCTACCGGTGTCTGGGTAGGAACACGTTTCATCCTCTCTGAGGAGGCTGGTGCGCCCAAGGCACACCAAGAAGCCGTCAAAACAGCTGGCTGGGACGACAACATCCGTACCATCATCTTCACTGGCCGGCCACTTCGTATTCGCAACAACCCATATGTCGCCAACTGGGAGGAGAACAGACAAGCAGAGATCAAGGAGCTCACCAGCAAGGGTATATTACCTGTCGAGCACGATCTTGAGAAGATGGGTGATGACCTCGACGATGAGACCATGGACAATGCTCGGCCATTCCTGATGGGCAAGGTCGCCGCCGTTGTCAACGAAAAGAAGAGTGCAAGAGAAATCGTCGATGAGCTCGTCACAGATGCTGTCAAGTGGCTAAACATTGGCAACTCTTTCATCGTGTCCAAGTCGAAGCTATGAGCAATGAATTTAGATAGTTTAATTTCGAAACAAGCTTCTTCGTTTGCCGCAAACTGCATTCTATCTCAAACTGCAAAACTCAGACGTACAATTGATTAAACGATATGCAGTAATATGCCACATCATGGAGACTCGACCAGGTATGCTTCAGGGGTCAGTTGTTTGGACTCGTTATGCTGATTGAGCAAAAGCCAATCTATAGCCTATCTAGTGTTTTGGCACAACCATGCATCACGAATTCAGTGTTGTGGGAACGACATCAAGGACGCATTAGATTATGCCATTATCACAAGGCTATATATGCCTACGAAGTACTGGTGGCTGAGCTGACAGGCAGACTGACTGGCATTGGAGTGCCAGAGGCAGAAGCTGTGGACGACGCGCCGCCACCGCTACCACCGCCGTTCTTCTTTTGAACTACGGCCGAAACGACTTGGCCGGCAGTGTTTGTCACAATGTCGACGAGAGCGTTGAGAGGCTCGTAATTAAAGGTCTTCTGTGTAAGTCCCTGACCAACCTGCTTTGCGCTACCAGTGACCTCGGTCATGTTAAGCTGGAGATTCAGTTAGTGGTTGTGACCTAGTATAGTGCAAGTATGCTCACTTTGAAGTTTCCGACAATCTGCTGAAGGGCATCTCCGCCGCTTCCCACGACCTCTTGGACAATGTTACCAAGGTTATCAACCAAGAAGTTGAGTGTCTTTCCATTTTGCGTGATCGATCCCAGCTACATGTTGTTAGTTTCGTTGAGTTTTAAAAGTTTTTTTTTTGGACACTCACAAGGCCATCCACAGCACCAATCACTTCTCCAACCAAGTTGGTGACGTTTCCGATTAAACCGATGAGAAGAGGGTTCAGGTCCAAAGAATCGAAAACGCGCTCAACAATGGAAACAAGGTTGCCCAATCGTACGACCAACTCGAGATCAACATCCACATCAGCAATAGTGATGTTGACCTTCTCTATGGCGACTTGAACACCAGCATTGATCTGGACAAGACCGGCAACCTTAGCATTAAGGTTGAGGTCTGCCTGAAGTCTCTCAACACCTAGTTCGATTCTGCCTACGTGGAGTTCGGGGACACGGAGAAGCACATCTGGGGGTGAAGATCCTGTAGGCGCAACCTCTGGCGGTCTTGTAGAAGTTCCGTTACCTCGCGGTGGGGTGCTGCTAGTAGGCGGCGGGGTTGATGGTGCAGCTGATGGTGATGCCGTTTGCGCAGAAATGAGTGTTGCAAAGGTAAGGAAAATGCTGATGAGCAGTAGGCGGATAGAGAGCGACATTTTGGTGTGGGCGGCGACAGCGACAACAACGACAGCGATAGTAACGAGCGAGACAGCCGTACAAGTATCAGCAAACACGGCCCAAGTAATGTTTAAAGCGAAGGAATCCCGTTGCAAATCAGCCGAGACGGCAATCATGCACATGGAGTATTACAAGGATTCCCATAACGGTAATCTCGGGTAAAGCCCCCTATGCAGCAACAACAAGGATTCGTACAAGGCTGGACCGCGCCATCTGGAGCAAACCCAAGGCATGAACACCCAGAAATCCTGATTCGCATACGAACTACCGGTTTTCTAGACTTTCTGTCGAATGGCATGTGCTGAAATGATCTCCTTAATTTCCTTTTTTTGCTTGTGTAGTGGATGACGGATAATCGTGCTATGCAATGATCCTTGTAGGCAACGAACTACTACAACCGATGGTACTGTTAACCGTTGCTTGCCCGTCTCTTGTCGATTGACGACATCCATCGAGCTGTCGCTTCCTTCCTTTCGCTCCTTCAGCAGCACGTGGACCTCCATCCAGTCTCTCTTTCATCACCAATCAAGATGTTGTCCATACTCCCAACGATCACACTCCTTTCGCTGCCATTTCTCGCCGTTTGTCAATCTGCGTCTGATGGCTACAGTGGCTACAAGCTCGATGTCCGAGATGACGGCGACCCAACCGCCGTGCTTTACGAGACGGAAAACACGTCTTCATCTAATATCTCCGCCTTGAATCCTGTGCCAGACGTCCTGCTTAACGCATCGGTTCACGTTGGCGAAATCTTCATTGGTGTCGACAACCTCACTGCGAAGATCAACCTCGACGCACAGGTACTCCAGTTGCTGCAGTTCAACGCCGGAGTAGACCTTTCCGTCGACAAAGTTACGCTCCTTATCCAAAACGTCACAGCCAAAGTCTATCTCGAAGCACGTCTTGGTAACCTCGTCTCTATGGTCAGCGACGTACTGGATAGCATCGACCTCAACCCTGTTATCGCGGAGCTAGGAAACGGCCTCGGATCCATCATCAACGACACCGCTGGTCTTGTTGGCGACGTCGCCGGCGGACTTACAGGAGGAGGCAACGACACTGCGCAAGCCAAGGCAAAGCGTGACCTCGACTTCCATCAGTGGGACCTCCGTAACAACATCCTCTATTCTATCAACAACTTCGAAGGCAACACAAACAAGCGCCGCGTCCTTGCCCAAAACGGCGATATCGTAGAGCAAATTCTCGACAACTCCGGCACTATCTCTTCAACGAATGTTGTTGGTGATTACCTCAAGAACATGCGCTTTAATGGTTTCAACGAGAGCGTGACATTCAAGGGTGAAGAGGTTTGGGAGGAAGAATATGTCTATGAGCCTTTCATGGGGCTGTACTCTGTCTCGGGTGTATTTAAGAGCAAGAGTACGGGAGAAGTTGTTGGCACGCAACTTCTTGCTGAGGCTAGAGGGGGTGGAAGCGCCAGTATCGGAAACGAGAAGGCGTAGAATTGAACACTATCACGCTCGTGTAGAGATTTTACCTATTGAATGTAATGTTTTGAAACAAACCACTTCCTTCTCTGAACGCCTAATCTGATCAGCCTCACGTCCAGAGAGCGTGTATAAAGATGTCCTTGTCTCATGCAACTCCCATGTTTGCACAAGTCACTCTCTGGTTGTCAGGTTCGGCAAGTTCATGGTGAACGGCTAATATACCTTCGATGAGCGCATGGTGGTTTTGCATGAACATCCGTGCGAGCATGCGAGATGTGCGAACCGAGATTTGCCATGCAGCCACATCCAGGAATAGTAGCAATGGTCGAGACTGTTCCAAATATCGAATCGACGATGGCGTCACCGTTAGAAGGAGCAACGTCCTTCCAAGGCACGCCCAAAATCGCATGAATTCACAAAACCTAAGCATTGAACACTTGGCTTATCCTAGCGCAGTATGATGCATCTCTCATGCTTAGACTCGGGGTAAGGGGATTTCTCCTTGTTTCTTGTGCGACATTGCATCGTAAAACAGTCCATCTAGAATAATGGCAGACTGAGCAAGTTGAGGCAACGAGTTAGTGAGCAGGGACGAGAAAAGAGTATTCACGCGCGAGAAATATCACGTCAAGACATGAAATTTCTATGGTGCTTCATTGTTGCTTGCAGATAGTCATCCCTGGAACGCCAATAACGCCATGCCATGCCATGCTGATGATCTGAGATGAGATTGTTCCAAGAAAACCTTGACGCCGTATAATGCCCAAGAAAGGTTGCTGCCATCTCTTCATCCAAAATCCATACACATCGTAATACGTCGAGCCAAAGTATGACAGGGGGGATCGCAATATCAAGGTAGTGTCGTCGTGTTTAGAAGCGGGTTATCTTGAGGGCGAATGTGTAGGTTGAAGTCGTTTCTGCTGCCAAAGCCACTTGCGTGGGCCTCCATTGTCCTCGATTGCACAACCCCACAACATTCTACTCTTCAAGCCTTCCCATCATGTTCTTTCGTACCTTGGTGTTAACCACACCACCAACACCAAACGCAGGTACAATACGACATATTCTTGCTGCAGCACTCTTGGCCCAATCCCTCACTACGCGACCCGCCCTTCCATCAACACCACCCACCGCAGCATCAGGCCTGTTGTACAGATCGAGACCCAGCAAATGCAAAGGCGTGCTCACAAGCTGAACAGCAGCAGGCGTAACAAACTGCGCAACGCTCAGCGCTCCAACATACTTCTTCACTTCATCGCCCATGCGCTCGTCTACCTTCGGCGCGAGCAGAGGCGGCAAGTTGAAAGAAGCAAAAATGGTAAGACAATCGCGAACTGTAAAAAGCGCAAAGGTTGGCAATGGAACAGGCCGTGGAGACGATCCCGGTGCAGCAAAAAGCCGCGTAAACTGGTTGTCCTTGTACAGACATAACGCTAGATTTGCTGTACTCGTAGCTAGAAACTTGCTCGTCCCGCTCGTCTGCTCCTGTAACCCTTGTGTAGGCTTCACGGTCGCAGAAGCTGTATCGATACTGTTCGCCGTAAAGTAGGTTCCAAAGTACAGACTGAAGATGAGAATGAAGGGCTTGCTTCCCACAAAGTGGTGGGGTTTTGCTAGTAATTCCACAGCACTCTTCTTTAGACTGACGCCCAATGTGTTCCTGCCACTTGCGTTTTCGATTATGCCTTTATCGATCATGGTTATGATGGGTGCGACAAGTATCCCTGCTGCACCTGCTGAGAGGGCGTCGACGCCGATGCGTAGACCGAGCTTGGAGGTATTCCATTCGCGAGGTGTGTCGGTCGAGGTAGTGGGTGTGCGCATTGCAGGCAGCGGCAGCTTGGGTTTGGGAATTGCAATTGAAGGTGTTGCAACCTTAGGCACGGTGTCTGCAGGTGTGTTCATACCGCTGACTTGTTCTTCCCCCATTGCAGCTTCCTCCGGTGACTGATAAACTCTCTCTTTCTGTGCTGCATGTGAAAGCTTCAGCTCTTCGATCCTGCTCTTTTCGCGGGCACTTTGCGCTTGCGGTCTCTGGTAGGCTCTGTTCCGTCGCGTGTCTAGAGTGCGACCGAAGTGCCGTGAAGATTCACAACGTAGGAGCTGCGCAGCCGTTGTTGTTGAGGGATTTGATTCACCAGCCGCTGACGAAAGATATCGGAGTTTAGCTGAAAGTTCTCCGGAACGAACACCGACGTCGGAGCAAGAGCTACCGAGTCGAATACTACGTTCGTTGATTGGCCCATGTTTTTGAAACCTGCATCATTGGACGTTCGCATGTCAGTTGGCGATGGGTAGCATCGGCTGAGGTATGTTCATGTATATTGGACGGCATGTCTCCGTAAATGCAGGGTCCATCGTGGGGAAGGCGACCAAAGTTGGCGATCTGGGGCACATTGAGCTAGGACGTTGCACCCCTCTCTCATCATAGTCTTGCTACAATGATAGCAAACTACTCGATACGCCCATAAATTGGAGGGACAGCGTCTCTCGTTGTGCATAGGCTTATTGCTTAGAATGAGACAAACTGCAATTGCGTAGCCAGGGCATGCCTACAAGAACGGGCAGTTCACGACTCGTGATGTTTACAGCCATCGGGTAGACAGGTAAACGCGGCTGAGCGATGAGCAACTTAGCCGAAGCCGTCTGCCAAAATCCCGAAAGAAACCGATCTTGCGGATGCTTAGCTGACAGCGCCTCCTAGCGACCGGTGAGAAACCGAAGATGCAGATGAGGGGATGATGTGGAGGCGGTGTGACATATATTGCAACAATAACCAGGTAATGAAGACCGGCTTGATTCTTGACTACTTTGGTAGTCGTAGGCATGTGATTCTGCTTCAAAACTATCTTAGTCTTCCCAACAATTCACTTGCATGTGATGCGCCCAAACTCCAATACACCCTGGGAATCCTGTTTGTATCTCAATTCCTTAGCGCGCGCAGCCTCTCGGTAAACGCCTCTTCTTCCTGCTCGGTAGGTCCAACTTTGGTCTTGACCGGTGTGGCTTCTTGGAGGTCTTGCTGTAGATCCACACCTGCCTTATCTGCTGCCTGCGCCATTAGACGGTCGACGTCTTCTTGTGGTGTACCGACGGCGGTCGCGGAGGAGGTGATGTCCTGGTAGAGTTCCGTGGCCGAGTCTACGTTCTCAAACTGCTTCTCGAAATCGACCATGACGGAGGCGATCTGTATATTGTCAGCAGCTATGACGCAAGTAGCTGTTGGGTCGCGTACCCTCTCTGGACTCATAGACTTCATAGCCACGTCTAAACTCCGGTTGACCTTCATCATGTTGCCTGTGATCTGTCGCATGGTGACAGCTGTTTGCACGCGCCCTGCAACGGCATCGACGCGCGAGGCAAGTTGCAGCAGGTTGAGCTTCTCATTCTGCTTGCGGATAGCATTTCCGGCGTATATGCGTGCAATGTCGTTGTGGCCCTGTTTCATAGCCTGGCATAGTTGTCAATACAACGTCTTTAGCGTGGGAAGCATGTTGTCCACCTTCTCTAGCTTTGTCTTCTCTGCCTGTTCCTCCTTGCCGGCTTTGAGCGCCTGCCTGTTCAGCGACTTGGCTGTGAACTACTGAGTGTGAGCTTGGGGGTTGTCGGCGTCGACACAAGTCAGCTGACCTTTAAGTTGAAAAGCGCATTCTCGAGACCCGACATAATGTACAGTTGGGGAAGGTAGGGGCTTGTGGAGTTGTGCTATGGGTAGTGGTTCGGGAGATAGGCAGTAGTGGGCAGCGCTGTAGGTGGGATGCGGCTACTGGCCACGCGGGGTGTGGGCCCAACCCCGACGTCATTGGCCGCGAAACACATGCGCCTGTTGCTCTGGGCGCGCCGTCACGAATCAATAGGAAGCGAGTACGTGTGAATGCATGCGGATAGAATAGAATATCTGCTGTCGCGACAACTACAAGTTCCGTGTTGTAGCCTTCCGGGCTTGCATGTCCCTTGGATAACGCCTATTTCTATGCTTGAAACATGCCGGCCCGTACACCCTGAATGCCCTTGATGTATCCCTAATCTAAGCCAAACGCCTGCCTCGCGCCTTCGCAATGCCCATCAAACGCCGCGCAACTGAAGCCATTATTCGTACAAGTCGTTCACGGGAAGCAGCACTACTGCGCAGGCGGCGCGTTGAACTTGCTCGTAGCGTTCTTGAAGAGCTCTTCCTGCGCAGCGATGAGCTGTTCCTCGGTCATGCCGCTCTGCTCGATCTTGGTCTGCTTCTTTTCTCGATTCTGCCCCGCGTTAGCTAGTGATCGCGTAACCTGCACCCTCGTCATCCTACCTGCTGTTGCTTCTTGTAGTCTTGCGCCACCTCGAGGATGGCTGGGACGTAGTCGCCAAAGTCCAGCTCTTCCAGGGCAGCCTTGACGTGTTCGCAAGCTATCGTCTTCTTGGCGTCTTTTTCGGCGATTTCGTTGGCTTCAGACGAGATGAGGGTGATGAACTCGACACAGCATTCGATCAAGAGGTCGCGCGAATCTTTTGCAAACGTCATGCCAGGCTCGCTGGCGAGGATGTCTTGCACAATCTTTTGGACGGTCGCTGGGGGCGCATTAGCATTTACGGGGCGGTGCAAGTTTGAAGTTGCCGACCTTTGGGCAGCGACAAATCGTCGTTGCCGCCAAACTCGCGGTCAGACATGGTGGTTGGGTGCGCGGCAGCGGTATGATGTTGGCTTTGAGCTTCGGTATTGCGCGTGGTTGCAGCGCTGCTAAGTAAGAAATGCAAATAGACCGCACGGGCCGGCTGTTTGGCCGAGCTGGGGCATCATGAGGACCCTTTGCCTAGGCAGGAACATTGATTGTGTAACGACGGCAGGCAGCAAACACGACATGACGGCCATGACAGCCTTGTGAAGCATCAAGTATGAAGTCATTCTTATTCCAGCAAGCCATGTGCAGCACTAAGTCGTGTCGTCGAGGATTCGCAGCAGCCCTTTGGGGTCATGTCATGGGTGTCTTGCCTCTGACATGTAGCAGAAGCAAGCTACGTAGGGTGCACATGAGAGAGGAGCATGTTGCTCGTATAGCTGCATGCCGCCTGGGCAGTTTGTATTAGTCGGGTCGAGCAAGGCTCAGATAGTATAGATAGGTAATGGCATGGCTAGCTCCACAGACGCTATCTCGTGCTATCGGGCCACATGTCGCTAATGTGCCAGTGGCATCACGGGTGGAGCGTTGAGGCTTTTCTTCAAACGACAGTCTTGGAGCTTGATGCAGGCAATGGCTTGAGCATTGATGTGAGGGTATTCGTGCTCCACCTGCTACGGCGCAGTGGAGGCGATGATTGGCAGTGAAGGGGCCCTGCTCCGAGATCTTAGCCAGGGACTGTATCTCTTCCCGGCCGGTTTGGGCGAAGCCGGCCCAGTGACATGTCGGCAGAAGCAATGGCAGTGGATAACTACGTCAGCGGATTGCACCTGCTTGGCGCACACAGATGGATGGCCTGTTCAAGTGTGGTTTTGGTAGACTTGCTGCTGCTGCTCGCCGAGACAGACGACAGTGGCGGTGAAAACCGGAGGACGAGTGGACGGGCTGGCGGCGGGCTATGGACGAGGGGACCGTCGGCGGCGCTGCTAGGCCGGGGAATGGTGCAATGCAGATGCAATCACGCTGGTAGAGGGCGGTGATATGTATCCAGAGTCGTTGCCCGGCTGCGTGAATTGAATTGCTGCCAGTGAGCTACACGGCGCCTGCCTAACTAGTTTGCTGGTGACGCTGCTATCAAGTGCAGCAGCACCAGAGCTCCAGCACCTGTCTTGATTCCAACACTTCCCGAGAGACCCCCCAGGCGCTCCCACGGTCCCAAAGTACACGTCTACCCAGTACCGCTGTACACCGCCCGCGCGCCTCCAGGCTGGAAGGACTCGGACAGCCTGCCCCGTTAAAGTGCTAGAGCAGAGTTTTCGCACAGTCGTTGCAACGCGCTTGTTTAGGGCTAAGGCCGCTCGGAGCAGCAAGCCAGGACCCAAGGGATTATTATGACTTCACGCCCAACTGCGGACCCGGCAGACAGCTCGCTCTCGACATCTCCCACAAGCGACACGTACTCCAGCAGCCCGTCTCGACGCAGTCTCCGGGAAACCACCAAGATTCCTCCTCCCACCAAAGGCTCCGCTGTCGATGCCCTCCAGCAACGTCCCGGACTAGTCTCTCGCGCCTCGGAGAGCTCGACCAAGACCATTCGACCCCGCCACCATTTACGCAACAAGTCGAGCAGTGTTGTTCCCACCCTCTCCACGCTCAACGTCGGCACTGCGCCCTCGACCCGCCAACAAAACACCATGGCCCAGCACACGACAGGCAACTCCTCGTCAGGCGCTGCCGACCTGCTGCGGCAAGCAATGACACGGTAAGATAGATGCCTGCCTTTTAGACTGCGCATTTGCATATTGCCACGCACCACACCCACGCACCACGACGCACCGCCCACGATGCACCATTCACAGCCCTTCGCTTGGTCATCACTGTTCATTTCTCAGACGCTGCACACACGACTCCTGCCCTCACACCACCCTTTCACCGCCACTTCGTCGTCGTTTTTTTGCCTTTATCGAGATTCCTGCCCTCATCACTGCTAACGCCCCATAGCGCAACCAACGACAGCAACGACGACGGACACGACCAGATCGGCTCCACTAGCTCCACGCCCCCAGGTGCCACGACACCCAAGCCCGACCCGACGGACAAGCGACTGCCGGGTATTCTGCACAGTTACTTTGGCCAGGTTCGTGATTCTCTTATGCCCTCGCGGAAATCTTCATCCACGGTCAACCCCTCCCCCGCACCCGTCACTACTTCTGAAGTGTCGGACCCCCGAGAGAAGGAGCAAGAGTCACCCACCCATCCCAAGATGCTGCCCAGCCCCACCCCCAGTGCCTCTTCCCGAACTCCCTCAACCTCACAGTTGACTGGTGAAACGGAGAAGCTAACGCAAGGCGACTTTGCGCCGGTGCAACAGGCTACACCCCCCCAGACACCGCGCACCCGCTCACAAGAATCAAAGCCCAAGCCCTCGAACCTGTCCCGCGCCTCAAACGCTTCCGACGAGTCCAAGGAGAGCAAGACGGCTCCCGTCGTGGCCCCCAAGGGCAAGCTTGCAGTCACAATCTCTGAAGGACGTGGTCTGCGCCCTAGCACAGACCCTTACGTTGTCTGCCAGTTCCAATGGGCTGAGTACATCTCAGACGGTCCTAGGCACGATGAGTCAAAGCGACCACCCATGCAGATGAAGCGGACCGAGAGCCAGATGGGCACTCCAATGGCTATCCCCATGAAGAGCCGACAGAGCAGCAACAGCGGACACAGCTCAGATCCCAGAGAGAATGGCTCCCTGGAGGAAGTAACAAGCCCCAAGTGGGAGCACGAGGCCATGTTGTAAGTGGCTAACCATCTTACATCTACAGTGATGCTGACGGTTGTAGTGACGTTGTGGGCGATCATGCAGAAATCGACATCTCCGTATACGACCGGGCCAACGGCGAGGCTTTCCTCGGCCACGTCCGCTTCTGCCCAAACCTTGTCGAATACAGCGAGCCATATGACGGCTGGTTCCCGCTAGAGCCCCGAGAGGGCGAGGGAGGTGTTGTCACTGGAGAGATCCACCTCAAGCTGAACTTCCAAAAGGTGGAGAAGAAGCACTACGGTCCTGAAGACTTTGAGATTCTCAAGCTCATCGGAAAGGGTACATTCGGCCAAGTGTTCCAAGTACGTAAGCGGGACACTCGCCGCATTTACGCTATGAAGGTTCTGTCCAAGAAGGTCATTGTGCAGAAGAAGGAGGTCGCCCACACACTTGGAGAACGCAACATCCTCGTCCGGACAGCCATGGCTGACTCGGCATTCATTGTCGGACTCAAGTTCTCCTTCCAGACACCCTCAGATCTATATTTTGTCACTGATTACATGTCTGGAGGCGAACTCTTCTGGCATCTCCAAAGAGAGGGCCGTTTCCAGGAAGGCCGTGCCAAGTTCTATATTGCAGAGCTCATCCTAGCCCTGCAGCATTTGCACGATCACAACATCGTGTACCGAGATCTTAAGCCCGAGAATATCCTTCTGGACGCCAACGGTCATATCGCCCTCTGCGATTTCGGTTTGTCCAAGGCTAACCTTACCGAGAACGCAACGACCAACACATTCTGTGGAACCACAGAGTACCTCGCACCTGAAGTCCTCCTTGATGAACACGGCTACACCAAGATGGTCGATTTCTGGTCGCTTGGTGTGCTAGTGTTCGAGATGTGCTGCGGCTGGAGTCCCTTCTACGCAGAAGACACCCAGCAAATGTACAAGAACATCGCGTTTGGAAAGGTCAGGTTCCCTCGGGACGCCCTCAGCACTGAAGGTAGGAATTTCGTCAAGGGACTTCTCAACAGGAACCCCAAGCACAGGCTTGGCGCAACACGCGATGCCGAGGAGCTCAAGGCTCACCCCTTCTTTGCCGACATCGACTGGGACGCGCTGGGCAAGAAGAACGTGGTACCACCATTCAAGCCCAAGCTCAAGGGAGAGCTGGATGTTTCCAACTTCGACCCGGAGTTTACCAATGCTCTAAACGGCGCTGGTTCTCTGAACGCACGCGCAGCTGCTTTAGCATCAGGTGTCAACCCCGCATCCACTCCGCTGTCACCAACTATGCAAGCAAACTTTGCTGGCTTCACCTTTACTGATCAAAGTACGATGGAGCAACAATTTGGCAACGACAGGCACAGGAATGATGCTCTGGAACGAATGGATGAAGACGAGGGAGACGAAGTCAACTGGGATCGACCCGCAGGTCGCGGAGACAGGATGTCTGGCATCGTTCCCAGTAACGAACACGACGTCTTCAACCATGGCCAATTCGATGTATGATGAGCATACGCTCACATACCCAGCCTGCTCTTCGATCCTAGGTTCCTCCACGACCCGACAAAAGTTTCTGCTTTGTTCTATCTTACCAGTACATGGCGGTACTATTGATATGAGTCTTTTCTTGGATACCCGGAGCCTACCAAACAGGACCTGAACTGCGTTCTAGTCCTTCACTAATTTGCCCCATCGGTCGCTGCTGTCACGACTTTAGGCATGGTCACGATTACACAGGGGGTGCGCCACATGTTTCTCGACGACAACGCCAGGGACCTGACACAGCGCGCGATTGATTACGAATACAAGATTTCACAGAATGAGTTCAAGTTGCTGCGGTTTCCCACGCTTCAGTAGACACGATGTTTCTTTGCTGGGCTATGGGTTTGCATTGCGCTGGTGCATTGCTTTCGCTTTTTTTCAATGTGGGAGTTCTAATGGTACTTTGCCAAGTCGAGGCTGTTTATTTATCATTCTTTGTGCATTATGCGCGTGTATTTGCACGTCTTTCTGCGCGTTCGGCATACTAACGATATGAATTCATACGCATCGTCATCGAAGAGACATGGGTCGGGGTGATATGATGGATATGGGCGAGCTTTTTTGTACATAACTATATGAGACATCAAGTTCACTTTTTCGTACATGTCGCCATGACTCGGCTCTAAAATGTTTATCCTCGTTGTGTCGTCTATGGCTTTCAACTATCCTAGCCACCTTCTCTGACCTGTTCCCTCGCCGGGCTCATCCCATACCTCCATCATATCCAACCACTCCAATACAAATGCCCCAACAATTTTACACCAGTCTCTGACTGTCTCTCCGTCCAAATGCTCCCCGTCATCCTCCATGGTATGCCACACCCTGGGGAAAGGGCTTGGGATAATATGCAATATCTCTACACCCTTGCTCATAAACGGCAAATGATCATCAGAGATACCACCACTCCCGATAGTCCCATTGACATCAGGTAGGAAAGGCAAGCTGGGCTGCGATTCGAGGAGTTTCAAATCTCTGAGTCGTGATTCTATGGTCGAGAGGTGACGGTACGCCCAGTGCGTTGTGGGAAAGTAGGATGGTACTATGGGTGATGCGCTACCCAGGAGATCGAGGAGCATGAACAGCGAGATTTGAGATAGTGGAGTGCGGTTTTGGTAGAACTTCGAAGCTGCAGAAGGGGGGTTGGAGGTGGAGGCCCATTCCTGTGCTAAGGATCTACAAAGTTTGTGTTAGTATGTACCATGTGAGTGGGAAGTGGTAAGATCAAGAATCGGAGAATGACAATGAACGTACCTCGATCCATACAACGAATCAGTATCACTCCAGTTCTCAAACGCCTCTTCACCATCCAGAAATAGAATCTGAATCCCCATGTCCATATCCACCGTACCACCCTCCTGTAACGCAGACATCTCATCGTACATGCGCTGGATGTATGGATCAATCACTTTGGCTATGTGCATCAACATGGCGCATGGCGCCGCACTATCTGTCGCACCGATAAAGCCGCTAGGTTGCAGTTTACTATCGTAGTGCGCAACCAACGTGAGGAGGTTGGCTTGTCCTTTGCTGACCCATGGTGGTTCGCGCTTTACGACTAGATTCGCAAAAGGCAGCTCTGCACCCCGCGATGTCGGAGTTGTGGATGTGCTGTTTTGCCAGGATATATTCCAGGCTGGTAACTCGGTTTGGAAGTACGAGACTAAATGTTGCTGGGCGAGGGTTTGGCCTGGGGTGCCGGGAACGCGGGGGATGAGGAGAGGAGCGAGAAGAGGGCCGTCCTTGTAGTCGATCGCAGCGTCTGGGGAGGGGATTGCGCGAAGGAAGGCATCTGATAGGGGTTTGTAGGCGGTTGTTGGGTTGGAGAGGAGGAGAAGCGTTGGGAGAAGGGCGGATGGGAGGGTAAAGAGCATCGCGATGATTGGTTGTGAAGATGCGCGATTGGCAGAGAGTTGTACCTGCGTGCTGGTCGCTGTACTGAACCACGGGCGATTACTCGATGGGAAGGGAGAGTGAACGTCTTTTCGCACACAGGAGAAGTAGAGTTCATGCCCAGCAAGACTAAGTGGCCGTATACGAAGCTTGGAAGAAGAGGTGAATAGAATGACCTCTCTCTCTCTAACAACTCAGCTTCTCAACTCGAAGTGTGTTTCATCGCAACTGAGTTTGAAACCTCATGCGAGTTTGGCCTGCTCCATCAGGCAAATACCAAAAGCCATTTCTGCCGTGCTTACCGACCTCGAAATGGTCTTGCGTTTCGTGCTTCAGTTCGGTCCCTGACGCGGCAGAACAACATCCCTGTTGTTCACGTGAGCTGCATGTTCATCTTATCAGATTGATCTCTCTGCGGGCTGCTGTGTGATGACGGAGGATCTAGCCTGTCTCGGCGCCTATGATGCATGTTAGACATGCTGCCGAGGTGCTGTCCAGATGAAGTATATATTTGTATGCGCGCATATTTCAAGTTGATTTCAGGAAGATTTATACGTAGCACTACCTAAATGGCCTTTGCACATCCTTGAAAATGCAATGCAGTGAATATAGGTCTATCTACAATTTCGCCTTGCCTTGACCCTCGCACTTGACCAGCGCGCGTCCATTGGTGAGAACAGTCTTACCTCCCTCGACCTTTACGATGAACCTAATCTCCTCCAACCCGTCAGCATTTATATCGCCAGTTCTCCACATGTCCGTAATCAGCTTGTCTCCTGGCTTGACAGGTGCCGCAAATCTCGCCTGGAACTCCTTCAAGTTTTCAGGTTTCGAGCCACCAAATGCTTTCAAGATGGCATGTGCAGACATGTTCCAGGAAAACAGACCGTGAATGATGGGGCCACCGAAGCCCATCTTCTTGCCTGGCTCAGGGTCGGCGTGGAGAGGGTTGTAGTCGCCATTCAGACGGTACAGGTGTGCTGTCTCCATTGTGGTTTGATGGACATGGGTGTGGTCGGGGTTACGCGAGGGTGGAGGGTAGTTGGGCTGTTTGGGTCCTGCGGATGGGTTAGTTCAACGTTGTCCGTATTTGTTAGATTACTAGCGCTGTGAAGGCTTCACGAGAAAGACATACCCTTCGGTCCACCCCAACCGCCCTGGCCAACGTAGAAGCCACTGCCTACAGCTCTGGTGTAGGTCTCTCCACTCTCAGCATCAACAAGGCGTTGTTCCGTCTCCACGACGGTAGCCTTGCCCTTGTCATAAACACCGAGTACCTTGCTCCTGATCTCAAACTTGCGTCCATCGCTTGTTACAGGAAGTGGTTTGAGGACTTGGATCTTGCGCTCGCCATCGAGAATGTGCTTGGTGTCGAACTTGGGAACACCTTCAATAGGCTCTGCATTGCTGCGCGCGTAAAAGTCAATGACTTCTTGGTCCGTGTGCTTGAAAGGGAGGATGATAGGATAAGTCGGAAAGGCGGCAAACGAGGGATGGAGCTCCTGCAGGACATGTTAGATGCATTACAAAGCTTGTGGCTTGCGTGTATAGAGGCTGGAGATGGGTCTTAGTTCCATCAGATATACTTACGTAGAGAAAGTGTAGCTCATCTGGGTAGGTAGCGCCAATGCTGTTCGCAAAAAGCAGCAGGTCGCGCTTGAGCCATTTCACCTCATACGAGGGAAACTCAAAGCCGACGCCAGGACCCAATTCTTTACCCATGATGAAAGTGGATATGATGATATACGCTGATTGAAATGCGCGACTACAAGGACGACAGGTTGGTTTGAGGAAGAAGTGGGCGCTCAGTTGGAGTCGTAAGCTTCCAGGTTCCCAGCGGGGCGGCAATCGCGACGCGGAGCTGGAGTTTGAGCCGAGGTTCGATTCGTCCAAAATTGGTCAAGTCGAGTAATTCCACAACAGGATTAGTATTGAACAATGCGACTCAAGATTAATTAGCTGAGTTTTGGATGCCAATGCCAATGCCAATGCCAATGCCGATGTCGGTTTGGATGAGTCTTTTGCCTTGCTGTGGGACCATGTTACAAGTTTGAACATCATATTAGTCTATCTACAGTGTCGATGCTTCGATCAGAAGCCAATATTAAGGCGGCAAAACTCTTGTCATGCCTCCATGCAGATCGTGACAATATACCTGTATAATCCTTCCCATCCCTGTCATCCATCGTAATATCGTGATACCACGTCCTCACACTACCCTACGGTCAACAAAGTGGGACCACAATCCCATACGCCGAGTGTGAAATGATGCAACCTTTCGAGTCTAAGCTGAATCATGGAGATGACTCCCGCAAATGCTCAGAATGCAAGCGAAGGAAGAAATGAAGTTGTGGGGGTATAATGTGGCAGATTGGTCGTCTAGTGCTTGACCTCGTAGGAGCGGCGGAACATGCTGTCGATGCCGGTAAGGTAGTAGGTGCCGGGAACAATGGTGTCAACGCTTCCCTTGGGAGTGAAGTCCTTCTGGAGGTGAGCCTGCTCACGGAGGTTGCACATCTAGAAGAAAGTGTTAGTAGAATGCTTCACGATGAACCAGGATTCAAGAGACTTACCTCATCGTAGACCTCAGGGGCGACTACACGCCTCTTCTCGAGACGGTTCTGGATGTCAAGCTGCTTGGCAATGTTCTCGGTGCTGCCCTTGACGGTGAAGGAGAACAAGGAGGAGGCCAGACCACTTCCGTAGCTGAACATGCCGATGCGCTTGCCCTCGAGGTCCTGGCTGCTGATGTTGGCGAGCAAGCTGCACAAGCTACCGTAGACACTACCACAGTACATGTTACCGCACTGAGTGGGGACTTGGATGCTGGGCTGGACGCGAGACGCGTAGCGCTTCTTAGCGAGACCCATGAAGACCTTCTCTACAGTCTTGTCAGAGACAGAGGTGGCGTAGTCGAGGTCGCGGAGCTCAGCGGGAACCTCGGCGAAGATGGGGTTGGAAGGGTTGGCAAGGAAGTCGTTGTAGAGCAGACGCGCGTACGACTTGGCTACAAGCTTGCAGGTGGGGGCGTGGAAAGCCATGTAGTCGAAGCGGTCGAGAGCCGTCTCGAGCTCCTGGCTGCCGTTGACACCGTTTCCGTTTTGTTGCGACTTGAGAGTCTTCTCGCGCTCGTTGTAGGCCTTGTAGCAGGCGTCGACAGCCTCGGTGTAGCAGCGAACCGAGAAGTGGCCGTCAACGACGGGGTACTCGCTGGTGAAGTCGGGCTTGTAGAAGTCGTATGCGTGCCTGATGTAAGAGCCACGCTGGCCAGCATCCATGACAATGGGCGCGTTGGGACCAATGAGCATGGCAACACATCCAGCGCCACCAGTCGGGCGGGCGTTGCCCTTCTTGTACAGCGCAATGTCTCCAGCAACGACAACGGCATCACGGCCGTCCCAGGCCGATGACTCCATCCAGTTTACGGAGTTGAAGAGAGCGTTGGTTCCACCGTAGCATGCATTGACGGTGTCAACACCCTCAATGTTGTAGTTGCCAGATTCCTCGAAAAGCTGCATGAGCACAGACTTGACGGACTTGGACTTGTCGAGCAGAGTCTCGGTACCGACTTCGAGACGGCCAATGCTCTTGGGGTCGACGTTGTACTTCTTGAACAGCGAGGTGACGGTGGTCAGGGCGAGGGAGTAAATGTCTGCGTAGAGAGGGTGTCAGTCTTGCCTCTAGGTATCATGTAGCATGCAGTCAGAAAATGTTGAACCCACCCTCACGGTCGTCGCAGAAGGACATCTTGGTCTGGCCGAGACCAATGGTGTATTTGCCTTGAGAGACGCCATCGAACTTCTCGAGTTCAGCCTGGTCAACGCACTGTGGACGGCTTGTTAGCATGCGTTGTTGCAAAGCAGCGCGTGAGCATTGGGACGGCAAGTACCGCGCTTGCCGCATGGACGACATACCTGGCTGGGGAAGTAAAGCTCAATGGCTTTGATACCGATGTTGGAAGGACGAGCAGCCATGTTTGCAAGAGTACAGAAATGTTGTGAGGGGAGCAGAAAGGGAGTGTGTTGGCCAGGGAGGGGAGTTCACCGCCTTAAGTAGTTTGACGAGTAAATCCTACGCGACAATGGCAAGGTGCAGTTTAGTAGCGGCTATCAGTTCAGTTTCGTGGCAATGCTAGTACGGGCGTGGGTACAAGTCTCGAAAGGGGAGAATTAACGGGTTTTGTGCACAAGTTAGCCCTCAACAATGCCAACAGCGGCCCACGCGCTTGATTGTTGTGTCTGCTAGTCCCTGAGATTTTCGGTACATTCTTTTCGGTGCATTCAGGGTCTGGCTGCGAAGACCGGCGTGGGTATTGATAGCGGGGCAATCATACCACGAAAAAGAAAAGTGTGCATGCCGCCTTGCTCTCTCTGACACGACGCGCATGCTCCTTCGCCCTTATCCCGACTTCACACGACCATGCTGCTAACATGGCGAGTTGGCCCTTTTCATCCGAGCGGGAGAAGTACTCGCTCGACCACCTATCGCCGCCGCGCTTGGCATGCAGGGATTTACTAGCTAGTCAGGCACTCAGGAACCATCAGCCCATCACAACAAGTCACCCCTACCAACCTCATACTCTCCGAAAGAAGAGTACTTGCCGTGTGCTCATGACACAGCCTCCACGGTATGCGTAATGCCGCGTCATGATGGCTGCGAAACTTCCAACTCGGTGCAGCTGCAAGGTATCTGGCACCGGCAGAACAGGACAGAATACTGTTGCCTGTAGACCCGAGTTACGAGTTGTGTTTATGGAAGCAGATATACTCAGGAGTAGTCGGACGAGACTGCTGAATTCGACTCCTTTCTGCCAGAACTACGAGTAACATAAAGATATCCGAGATTCGCACAACGGATGGGGATAGCATAAGAAGTGAGAGCCGTAGCGTCAACTACCTATAGTCTTTCGGAGTAGATGGAAATTATCCGCTCTATAGAGTGGAAAATGTGCCACCACTTGACATCCAACCAGAAAAATTGACTGGGACATCCTGGGCAGATGACGCTGTGGATGACATGTTCAACACGTGCCTCACATGCTCAGTAGGCGAGTATATAAAAGCACCGCATGGCTTGTCTTGTCTTGCCAGATAATTTGGTCTTGAAAATGGGATGCACACTGGATCCTACTTGCATAGCGGAGAATACAGTGGTCGATAAGTTCTGTCGAACGTGTTCTGTCTAGCAGTAGTGGAAGTAGCCGTCCCAATATTAGACATGATTAAGATCGGGCAGTCCCAAAGTAGCCGTATATTAACGCGAGAGGGGCAAAAGTGTGCTCGCAGCCATTCAGGCAACGTTGACAGACATACAGTGCGAAGAGACGATACATGGAGAGAGATTCAAGGTGGAAGGTTGATGAGTTGGTCCAGGCGGGGGGAGGGCTTGTGTTCTCGAAGGGCTGCTTATCGAGGGTTCCAAGGTTCCAAGGTTCCAAGGCTGGTGTTCGCCCGTGCGCCTTTTAGTGGCGCCAGCGTCTCAGGACAACCTCTGCCAAACGTGATGCACCTTCTCTCCACTACCAACTACACGACACGACACACGCCAATTCGCACCACACTCGCTACACGCGCGCCATCCATCGCTGCAGAGCGCGCACCGCATCGAGCAAAAATACGACGAGACGACTGCATCGCTTGCTGGGAGGACTGAAAGGGGAGAGGAACGGGCCTTTGTGGCTCTCAGGGACAGTTCGGCGTCATGGACCGACGCAACAGCAACGACGACGAGCCATCGCGGCGGCTGAGCAACCCCGATGTCTTTGGCGACGACTACGAAATCGACCCGGACGAGGACGATTTCATGCCCTCGGTCTCGGATGGCTTCCGACCAGCCAACACGAGCGAGGCATGGCAGGGCGGCCGCCAGAACCACGACCGGATAGGCGACGCGCCGCAACGACAAGCATCGACATCGAAACACCCCGAGAGCGACTTGCGCAGGACGGCAACGCGAAATAGCACCGCCAAGGTGCGGGACTCTATGACACAAGACGGCCGACCGCCCCTCAACCGTGGGCCCAGCCACCACTCGCCCCTTGCACACCGCGACTCAGTGAGCTCTGCCGGGTCCTTTGCGACGACCAGCAATTCTGAGAACCCCTTTGAGACGGGCCCCAGCCATCCATATGGCATGTATCCTCAGCTGTCAATGGCACGGCCACTTAGCGTAGCAACTAGCTCCACCGAGCGCCAACCGCATCGATCAATGTCACTGCAACGGCCGACACACCCATACGCCATGTACTCGCAAAGCGGTATTGTCGACCAAGAGTCGCCAGACGAGCCAGCCCAGGCGCCTGTGCCTCAGGTCCAGTCGGCTATTCCCGTGGGATTTCCGGGCCTGAACAACGGCTATCATAGAGTCCTCGGGCCTGACGGCGAGGAGCAGGACATCATAGGGCCCGACGGACACACGGAGCAGCTTCCACCTTACTCAAGATATCCAGAAGAAGGTCCAACCAAGGCGTCTTTGGCAGCCGAGGCAAGCGCTTCGTCACGTGTTATTCCTGCTCCTGTGCAGGTCGACGCAGAGGATCCTTTCAACACCCCCGCATCACCCGTCTCGCCGCTGAGCACTACTTCATTCTCGCCACCTCCTCTACCTGCCGTTCCTCTGCTACCATCTGTCATACCCGCCCGCCTACCACCTCAGAGACCCGAAACCCAGACCGGTAATCTGGCCCCTGCCAACTCCAACTCTACCTCCGCGCAAAGCGGCAC